CAAACGCTAGGCCCTTGTTCTTGCAATTTTGCAGACGCTAGGCCCTTGTTCTTGCAATTTTGCAGACGCTAGGCCCTTGTTCTTGCAATTTTGCAGATGCTACGCCCTTGTTCTTGCAATTGTGCAGACGCTAGGCCCTTGTTCTTGCAATTTTGTAGACGCTAGGCCCTTGTTCTTGCAATTTTGCAGACGCTAGGCCCTTGTTCTTTAATTTTTGCAGACGCTAGGCCCTTGTTCTTTCAATTTTGCAGACGCTAGGCCCTTGTTCTTGCAATTTTGCAGACGCTAGGCCCTTGTTGTTGCAATTTTGCAGACGCTAGGCCCTTATTCTTGAATTTTTGCACTTGCTAGGCCCTTGTTTTTGAATTTTTGCAAACGCTAGGCCCTTGTTCTTGCAATTTTGCAGACACTAGGCCCTTGTTCTTGCAATTTTGCAGACGCTAGGCCCTTGTTCTTGCAATTTTGTAGACGCTAGGCCCTTGTTCTTGCAATTTTGCAGACGCTAGGCCCTTGTTCTTGAATTTTTGCAGACGCTAGGCCCTTGTTCTTGCAATTTTGCGGACGCTAGGCCCTTGTTCTTGAATTTTTGCAGAAGCTAGGCCCTTGTTCTTGCAATTTTGCAGACGCTAAGCCCTTGTTCTTGCAATTTTGCAGACGCTAGGCCCTTGTTCTTGCAATTTTGTAGATGCTAGGCCCTTGTTCTTGCAATTTTGCAGACGCTAGGCCCTTGTTCTTGCAATTTTTGCAGACGCTAGGCCATTGTTCTTGCAATTTTGCAGACGCTTGTTCTTGAATTTTTGCAGACGCTAGGCCCTTGTTCTTGCAATTTTGCAGACACTAGGCCCTTGTTCTTTCAATTTTGCAGACGCTAGGCCATTGTTCTTGAATTTTTGCACTCGCTAGGCCCTTGTTTTTGAATTTTTGCAAATGCTAGGCCCTTGTTCTTGCAATTTTACAGACGCTAGGCCCTTGTTCTTGCAATTTTGCAGACGCTAGGCCCTTGTTCTTGCAATTTTGCAGACGCTAGGCCTTGTTCTTGCAATTTGGTAGACGCTAGGCCTTGTTCTTGCAATTTTGCAGACGCTAGGCCCTTGTTCTTTAATTTTTGCAGACGCTAGGCCCTTGTTCTTTCAATTTTGCAGACGCTAGGCCCTTGTTCTTGCAATTTTGCAGACGCTAGGCCCTTGTTGTTGCAATTTTGCAGACGCTAGGCCCTTATTCTTGAATTTTTGCACTTGCTAGGCCCTTGTTTTTGAATTTTTGCAAACGCTAGGCCCTTGTTCTTGCAATTTTGCAGACACTAGGCCCTTGTTCTTGCAATTTTGCAGACGCTAGGCCCTTGTTCTTGCAATTTTGTAGACGCTAGGCCCTTGTTCTTGCAATTTTGCAGACGCTAGGCCCTTGTTCTTGAATTTTTGCAGACGCTAGGCCCTTGTTCTTGCAATTTTGCGGACGCTAGGCCCTTGTTCTTGAATTTTTGCAGAAGCTAGGCCCTTGTTCTTGCAATTTTGCAGACGCTAAGCCCTTGTTCTTGCAATTTTGCAGACGCTAGGCCCTTGTTCTTGCAATTTTGTAGATGCTAGGCCCTTGTTCTTGCAATTTTGCAGACGCTAGGCCCTTGTTCTTGCAATTTTTGCAGACGCTAGGCCATTGTTCTTGCAATTTTGCAGACGCTTGTTCTTGAATTTTTGCAGACGCTAGGCCCTTGTTCTTGCAATTTTGCAGACACTAGGCCCTTGTTCTTTCAATTTTGCAGACGCTAGGCCATTGTTCTTGAATTTTTGCACTCGCTAGGCCCTTGTTTTTGAATTTTTGCAAATGCTAGGCCCTTGTTCTTGCAATTTTACAGACGCTAGGCCCTTGTTCTTGCAATTTTGCAGATGCTAGGCCCTTGTTCTTGATTTTTTTGCAGACGCTGGGCCCTTGTTCTTGCAATTTTTGCAGACGCTAGGCCCTTGTTTTTGCAATTTTGCAGACGCTAGGCCCTTGTTCTTGCAATTTTGCAGACGGTAGGCCCTTGTTCTTGCAATTTTGTAGTCGCGACTGTGGCAAAGATGATCGTGCTTGGCGGTCCAGGATTTGAAAAACTTCGCCTCACATTTTATACCGGCGCGGATTTCGCAGCTTTCTGGGCTCACGAACGCCCTTATAGGGGGGGCGGTTCTTGTTGCGGCGGGCTCGCCTGAAGGTATTAGGAGCTGCAAACTGACCCTAGGGTACTCAGGACTGTGGCAAAGATGATCGTGCTTGGCGGTCCAGGATTTGAATAACTTCGCCTCACATTTTATACCGGCGCGGATTTCGCAGCTTTCTGGGCTCACGAACGCCCTTATAGGGGGGCGGTTCTTGTTGCGGCGGGCTCGTCTGAAGTTATTAGGAGCTGCAAACTAACCCCAGGGTACTCAGGACTGTGGCAAAGATGATCGTGCTTGGCGGTCCAGGATTTGAATAACTTCGCCTCACATTTTATACGGGCGCAGATTTCGCAGCTTTCTGGGCTCACGAACGCCCTTATAGGGGGGCGGTTCTTGTTGCGGCGGGCTCGTCTGAAGTTATTAGGAGCTGCAAACTAACCCCAGGGTACTCAGGACTGTGGCAAAGATGATCGTGCTTGGCGGTCCAGGATTTGAATAACTTCGCCTCACATTTTATACCGGCGCGGATTTCGCAGCTTTCTGGGCTCACGAACGCCCTTATAGGGGGGCGGTTCTTGTTGCGGCGGGCTCGATTGAAGTTATTAGGAGCTGCAAACTAACCCCAGGGTACTCAGGACCTTGGCAAAGATGATCGTGCTTGGCGGTCCAGGATTTGAATAACTTCGCCTCACATTTTATACCGGCGCGGATTTCGCAGCTTTCTGGGCTCACGAACGCCCTTATAGGGGGGCGGTTCTTGTTGCGGCGGGCTCGTCTGAAGTTATTAGGAGCTGCAAACTAACCCCAGGGTACTCAGGACTGTGGCAAAGATGATCGTGCTTGGCGGTCCAGGATTTGAATAACTTCGCCTCACATTTTATACCGGCGCGGATTTCGCAGCTTTCTGGGCTCACGAACGCCCTTATAGGGGGGCGGTTCTTGTTGCGGCGGGCTCGTCTGAAGTTATTAGGAGCTGCAAACTAACCCCAGGAAACTCAGGACTGTGGCAAATATGATCATGCTTGGCGGTCCAGGATTTGAATAACTTCGCCTCACATTTTATACCGGCGCGGATTGTTAGAATCTAGAATAGAACGAGAATGAATGAACTAGCAGGAAGGTGGGTACAAGTAGGAAACCCTAAGTTTGTGTACCCTCTAAGGCTAAACCCACTATAGCCTACACAATATAAACATACAATGTTTGACACACCCCCATAGGCGTAGTGGGAGACAACCAGAGGGTCACAAGACCAGTCAAAGCAAAGCAAAGCAAGCTCAGGGTGGATCTCAAGGATACCACACAAATTCTGAGCACAAGCAAGTGGTCACAAGACCAGTTCACATGCAGTTTGATAATATAGCAAGAGATACAGTGATCACAACCTAGGAGGTGTAAACATGCAGGTATATATATAGAGATCACAGTACAAACAAAGTCAAGAAGTAAGCAAGTGAGGTCCAGTAGGCACAAGGCCTAGAAGAGTACAGAAGCGCTGATGGTCACAAGGCTGAAGCGCCTTGGTGAACACATCAGTAGTGTTGGCCTCAGTGGCCACGTAACGCAGACGAAGCTGACCGCGCTGCTGCAGCTCTCGAGCAAGGAAGTACCGCAGGGCGATGTGCTTCGTTCTGTGCTCCAGTCTGTGCTCCTCACACAAGGCAATGGCAGCCTTGTTGTCGACGTACAGCACTGGAGGAGAACGAGGCTGCTCTCCCAAGTCGGTCAGCAGGTAGGTCAGCCAGCGTAGCTCCTGGGCCGCCATGGCTGTGGCGTAGATCTCAGCCTCACAACTGGAGCTGAGAACAGAAGAAGAGCGTGTGGAACGCCAAGAAACTGAGCCAGAGCCAAGGCTGAAGGTGTAACCCTGAGACGACCGCTGAGTAGCCTGGTCGTCCGCCCAAGAAGTGTCTGAGTGTCCAGTGAGTACAACTCGGTCTCGCCCTCCAAGCACTAGCCCCATGCCCGACGTACTGCACAAGTAGCGCAACACCCTCTTAGCGGCATCCATGTGCTCCTTCCTGTGACGGCCAGGAGCAACATAGCGTGCAAGGATGCTAAGAGGGTATGCAAGGTCAGGTCGAGTGCAGGTCATCAGGTACATGAGGCAGCCCACAAGCTCTGGATACGGGCCACTCGGCTCGAGGAGTACGTGAAGCGGAAGCGCTGAAGGATCTGCTGCACCATGTGTGACTGAGTCAAGGTGATGGTGCGCCGTGCTCTGTCCCGAGTGATCCGCAAGCCAAGATAGCTTGTCAGTTCACCCAGGTCTGTGCACGTGTGTCTCCTCTGCAGTTCCGACTTCACGTGGGCGAGAGCCTCAGTGTCAGCAGTGGCAAAGACCAAGTCGTCCACGTACACGAGGATGTAGAACGGCGGCAGGGAAGTGTCGGTGCGCAGAAATAGCGACGGGTCAGCAGTAGAAGGCGCGAACCCAAGAGCCGCAAGTGTCGTCCTCAGTGTGTCGTGCCACTCACGTGGCGCTTGGCGGAGACCGTAGACTGGCCGCTGGAGGCTCCACTGGGTACCAGGAGGAAACGACCCAGTGAAGCCAGGAGGGCGGCGCAGCCAGATCTCCTCGTGCAGGCTGCCCTGCAAGAAAGCAGTGTTGAAGTCAAGTGAGTGAAGCTCGTAGTCACGCTGAGCGGCTATGTGCAGCAGCACCCGAAGAGTGGTCATCTTCGGGGTGGGGGAGAAGGTCTGGAAGAAGTCGACTCCCTCTCGCTGACTGAAGCCTCGAGCAACGTAGCGCGCCTTGAAGACAGGAGGAGAACCCGGCGGCCGCTTCACCCTGAAAATCCACATGCCACTGACGATGTTCGCCCCAGGTGGGGGAACCTCGTCGACGTAGGTGCCTGTGGACTTCTAGGAAGCCATCTCTGCGTCCATGGCTGTCAGCCACTGAGTGGAGTAGGGACCCGCCATCGCCTCAGCGTAAGAGCGTGGGGTCGGGATGTCTGGAGCATCCGGGTCTCCCTCAGGGGCAACTAGCATGGACACGAGATGGGGCAAAGCAGCAGCAAAGCACTGGAACTCCTCCTGTCTGTCCTCAAGGACGTCCGTGCCAAGAGCACACGCACCCCCGACGGACGGAGGACAGACAGACTCAGACTTAGACTCAGCAACAAGGCTAGCGGCGTAGTCTAGACGACACCGGGCAGCAAAGTCTATCAACTCAGCGACCAGAGCAGACGCAGCAGAGGACTCAAAGGTAGGGTCAGTGACAACAGTGGCGAGAAGACGGGTGACAGTGGGACTGGCAGCACGACGGGAGTCAGACTCCGGGTCAGGAAGAGTAGGCAGAGAGGACGCAGGAGGAGACGGCAGCGGGACACGCTGAGGAGCAGTGGAGGGACGCAGAGTCATGTAGTGAGTGCCAGGGACAGGAGGAGGACGCTCACGTGGGACACGACGACCAGTGCGAGCAGTACGAACAGGCGACGCAGGACGAGACGCAGGCTCACGACGCTCTGCAAGACCTCCTGTGGGACCAGTGTAAGGAGAGGGACCAGGGAGAGGCGAGGCAGGCGGTAACTGTGACTGCGACTGGACAGGCGGAGGACACTCTACGGAGGGAGGAGGACGAGGAGGAGGAGCCTGACCAAGAACCTGCTGAAGGAGCGGTACGAAGTACAGTCGCGGCCGCGTAGCGTCTCCAGAAGCAGCAGAGACACCAGCGCCAGGGTCCTCAGCACCAGCAGCAGCTCCACCGCCCGGGTCCTCAGCACCAGCAGCAGCTCCACCGCTCGGGTCCTCAGTACCAGCAGCAGCTCCACCGCTCGGGTCCTCAGCACCAGCAGCAGCTCCACCGCCCGGGTCCGCAGCACCAGCAGCAGCTCCACCGCGCGGGTCCTCAGCACCAGCAGGAACTCCACCAGCCGGGTCCTCAGCACCAGCAGCAGCTCCAACGTCCGGGTCCTCAGCACCAGCAGCAGCGCCACCACTCGGGTCCTCAGCTCCAGCAGCAGCGCCACCGCTCGGGTCCTCAGCACCAGCAGCAGCTCCACGAGTCAGGTCCTCAGCACCAGCAGCAGCTCCAACGTCCGGGTCCGCAGCACCAGGAGCACCACTCCGAAGACTGCAGCGCCTCGTGTACCACTCTCGGATCTGCTGGAGGGGGGGGAGCTCCCGGGCAGCACCGCGACCAGCTCCAGCAGTACCTCTCCGGAGGCGGCAGTACTGTAGGTACCTCTCCTGCAGCCGCTGTGAGGAGAGGGCTCCTCCAGGTGTAGTACCCCCAGACTCAGCACCCCCAGGCTCCGCACCCGCAGACTCAGCACCCTCAGGCTCACTACCCCCAGGCTCAGCACCCCCAGGCTCCGCACCTCCAGACTCAGCACTCCCAGGCTCAGCACCCCCAGACGCAGCACCCTCAGGCTCAGCACCCCCAGGCTCAGCACGGTCAGGCTCAGTACCCCTAGCAGGACGAGAGTCAACAGCTACCTCGACAGGCTCACCCGGGTCTACCTGGGACACACCTGAGGGAGCGGCACCCTGAGGGGGGAGGGGGTCTGGTACCTCAGCACCTGGAGCCAGGAAGAGAGGCGGGGGGGGGAGTGGGGCAGTGCGGTAGGGGAAGAGGCGGTAGTAGGGGACGGACTCGTCAAAAGTGACGTCCTGAGAGGCCAGGACACGACGCGAGGTGGCGTGGTAGAACTGCCAACCAGGCGCGTCCGGGACAAAGCCAAGGAAGACACAGGGGACAGCGCGACGGGAGAGCTTGTCCGCGGACGTGTCGCGAACAAAAGCTCGGGATCCCCAGACCCGAAAACGCGACGCATCGCCAGCCTCTCCCGTCCAACGCAGTGTTGGAGAAGTCTCCGGTAAGGAGACACGGGGCCAGAGGTTGAGCTGATGCGCAGCGTATCGGACTGCAAACGGCCACAGAAAGTGGGGGGCAGCCGCATGAACCAAGGAGGTACGAGCAACCTCCATGACCAAGCCAATGCGGCGCTCAGCAACCCCATTCTGCTGTGGAGAGGCCGGAAGCGTGAACGACTGCTCAATGCCCTCCTGCTGACAGAAGGCCTCCAAGAGGCCAGAGGAAAACTCCCCACCTCTGTCAGAGTGCAGACGCAGGACAGAGAAGTCGGAGCGGAAACGCTCACTGAGCTGGAGACAAGATCTGCGGATCCAAGGGATCAAGACATCAGGGACATCACCCTTGGCGCGCAAGGGGAAGACCGTGGTGTAGCGCGAGAAGTCGTCAACAACAATCAGGAAGTACCTCTCCTGACCCTAACCACGGACGCGGGCTGGGCCCCACACGTCCATGTGGAGCGTCTGCAAAGGAGCAGTCGTCGGGGGAAAGGAGGAGGAGTGAGGAGCGGCGCGCTGCCGCCCCTCGACACAGGGAAGACAGGGAGGAGCAGGCGAGGGTGGGAGGGGAGGGAGAACCCTGGGAAGACCAGCAACAAGGTCCCGTTTGTGCATGGTCCGAAGGCGCTGCACAGACGGGTGACCAAGGCGGTGGTGCCAGAGGACAGTCTCATGCGCCAGAGAGCGACACGAGCAGGGGGCGGACAGCTGACCTGACGCAGATGCAGACGCAGACGCAGCTACCTGAGGGGACTCAGTGGTCAGTGTGTACAGATCCGACCCCGGCTGCCGAGTGAAGGTAGCCAAGTGGCGACCCGTCCGAGCACACGTGCAGTGTGTCACGCGCTCGTATGCAGGGGTGAACTGGTGAACACCCCTGTCCTGGAGCGCACGACCTGCCACCAAGTTCGTAGAGAACGAGGGGAGGTAGAGACCTGACAGTGTGCCTGACGGGACCGCAGGACAAGGAAGGACAGTGGAGGAGGTCGCAATGACCGGACCCCCAGAGGGGTCAGCGAGGGAGACAGCAACTGGCCGAGCGAGTGGCTCAAGGACAGTGCGGTCACGAAAGAAACAGCGAGAAGCACCTGAGTCCAGTGTGAAGGTGTGCAGTGCCGCAGTCGACTCAGTACCAGGGGGCACAGACTCACGAGCACCTAGAGCAGCAGCCTCACCAGGACCTGGGGCAGCAGACTCACTAGCACCTAGAGCGGCAGTCGGACTGGTCAGAATGCCCGGGTCGGGCGGAACACGCAAGTACTGAGCACCCTCTCCACTAGTAAACATCGCATACATGGCAGTGAGAATAGCATCAAAGTCTAGAGCCCAGATATCAACTCCCTGCCTCTCCAGATCAGCCCAGCGGGGCAGCTCAGCGCCAGCAGGAAACTGGGCGCGCCATGCGTCGGTAAGGCGCGAGAAACAGCGCTGCGTGGGGTGCGGCCTCCCACACGTCTGGCCAGTGCGGTCACCAGTGCGGATGACGTACGTGCAGGTAAAGCCACCCGCCCCCCCCCGCTGCGAATACCACTCACGTGCCTCCTGGAGCGACGGGGCGTGCTGCTGGCTCTGGCCACCGCCAGCGCCTCCACGACCACCACCGCCGCCGCCACCGCCTCGGCCACCTCCACCCCTGCCGCCGCCACGACCACCTCCGCCTCCGCTGCCGCCTCCGCCCCTGCCACCGCTCCCGCCGCTGCTGTCACCACCCCCACTGCCGCCACTAGCCTCTCCAGTCCCACCTCCACCCCCACCGCCACCACCCCCCGCCTCCCCCGCCTCCATCTCCACCCTTGCCCCCGTTGCTCCTGCGGCGCCCGCTCGGAGCAGACGCGGTCCCGACCTTCTCAGCACCAAGGAGGTCGACAGCAGCAGCAGAGGCGACAGAGGGGAGAAGGGGGGAAGGGGAACACCCCTCAAAGAACGGGGTGCGGGGGTCGCCACGAGAGGTGCCTACAGCGACGATGCTCGCCTCAGCTGCAAGCAGTTCCTTCTCGAGGAGGGCAATGGTGAGCTCAGTGGGGGAGCGAGCGAGGAAGTGGTCCCTGACTGCGCGCAGAGAGTCAGGGAGGCGGGTGACGATGTGGTAGAGCGTGATCCAGAGCGGGGGGGGGTTGCTGGCAAGGAACTCGTCAGGCATAGCAGCGCGAAAGCGGGCCTCACTAGTCTTGAGGTGGGTGATGAGGTCAGCAACTGTGCTGAAGGAGGCCAGGTCGGGGAACAGGTAGGGGAGGGTGAGGCGGCCGAGTGTGGCAGAAGCGGGTGAGGAGTAACGAGCAACGACTGCAGTGTACAGGTCCTTAGCAGTCTTGTGCTGGCCAAAGTGCTCGCGCTCATCTAGCGGTAGGGAGTTGCGAATGGCAAAGCGAGCGTGGGCGTCACGAGTCTGCCACTGGGAGCGCAGAGTGCTGTCAGCAGTAGTGTGAAGGAGGGGCAGTAACATGGCCTAAGGCGTGATCGTACAGTGAAACGTCCTCCTTGGCAGTGAGCTGGAGGAAGAGGTGCAGGTCATCTAGCCAGGTATCGAACTTCACTGGGCGGCCCTGGGCATCGAAAGCGAGTACTGGAGGACTAGCCATAGTAGCGGCAGTAGTAGCAGTAATAGGAGCAACAGTAGCAGTAGCAGCAGTAACAGGAGTAGCAGCAGCAGTGGCAGCAGGCAAGGGCGGTGCGCAAGGCAGTAGCGCGCCGCTTGCAGGCTGCGGAGGTGCGGCACAAGCAGGTAGGGCGGCGCACGAGGCTGCTGGGGCGGCGCGCGGGCTGCGAAGGCGCGGCGCGGGCTGCGCGGGCGGTGCGCAGCAGCGAGCCGCGCGCAGGCTGCACGGGCTCAGGTCGGGCTGCGCAGGCGGCGCACGGGGCAGCAGTGAGCCGCGCGCAGGCTGCGCGGGCTCAGCGCGGGCTGCGAGGGCGGTGAGCGGGATGGCAGCGGGCGGCGTGCGGGCTGCGCGGGCTCAGCGCGGTGCGCAGGGCGGTGAGTGTGGGGCCGACGGGGCTGGTAGGGGCGATCGCGGGGCCGACGGGGTCGCTAAGGGGCGAGCGGCGGGGCCGTAAGGGGCGAGCGCGGGGCCGACGGGGCCGTAAGGGGCGAGCGCGGGGCCGTAAGGGGCGAGCGCGGGGCCGACGGGGCCGTAAGGGGCGGCGCGCGAGTCGCTAAGGGGCGGGTCGCGGGTCGCGGGGCCTTAGGGGGCCGTTAAAAAAACGAGGCGCCCTAGGTAGGTAGGTAGGTAGGTAGGTAGGTAGGTAGGTAGGTAGGTAGGTAGCGGTGGGCCCTAAAAAAAAACGGTCCTAGCGAAGGACCTGCTCTGAAACCATGTCAGAATGAACGGACAGGAATGGTTGAACTAACAGGGAAATCAGTACAAATAGCAAACCCTAGAATTGTGTACCCCATATAGGCTAACCCACTGTAGCCTAACAAGCACAACATATATAATGTACGACACCCTCAAGCCCTCAAGCCTTCAAGCCTTCAAGCCTTCAAGCCTTCAAGCCCTCAAGCCCTCAAGCCCTCAAGCCTTCAAGCCCTCAAGCCCTCAAGCCTTCAAGCCTTCAAGCCCTCAAGCCTTCAAGCCTTCAAGCCTTCAAGCCTTCAAGCCCTCAAGCCTTCAAGCCCTCAAGCCTTCAAGCCTTCAAGCCCTCAAGCCCTCAAGCCTTCAAGCCTTCAAGCCCTCAAGCCTTCAAGCCCTCAAGCCCTCAAGCCTTCAAGCCTTCAAGCCTTCAAGCATTCAAGCCCTCAAGCCCTCATGCCCTCAAGCCTTTAAGCCCTCAAGCCCTCAAGCCTTCAAGCCTTCAAGCCCTCAAGCCTTCAAGCCTTCAAGCCTTCAAGCCTTCAAGCCTTCAAGCCCTCAAGCCTTCAAGCCCTCAAGCCCTCAAGCCTTCAAGCCTTCAAGCCCTCAAGCCCTCAAGCCTTCAAGCCTTCAAGCCTTCAAGCCTTCAAGCCCTCAAGCCTTCAAGCCTTCAAGCCTTCAAGCCTTCAAGCCTTCAAGCCTTCAAGCCTTCAAGCCTTCAAGCCTTCAAGCCCTCAAGCCTTCAAGCCTTCAAGCCTTCAAGCCTTCAAGCCCTCAAGCCTTCAAGCCTTCAAGCCTTCAAGCCTTCAAGCCTTCAAGCCCTCAAGCCTTCAAGCCTTCAAGCCTTCAAGCCTTCAAGCCCTCAAGCCTTCAAGCCTTCAAGCCTTCAAGCCCTCAAGCCCTCAAGCCTTCAAGCCTTCAAGCCTTCAAGCCTTCAAGCCCTCAAGCCTTCAAGCCTTCAAGCCTTCAAGCCTTCAAGCCTTCAAGCCTTCAAGCCTTCAAGCCTTCAAGCCTTCAAGCCTTCAAGCCTTCAAGCCTTCAAGCCTTCAAGCCTTCAAGCCTTCAAGCCTTCAAGCCTTCAATCCTTCAAGCCTTCAAGCCTTCAAGCCTTCAAGCCTTCAAGCCTTCAAGCCTTCAAGCCTTCAAGCCTTCAAGCCTTCAAGCCTTCAAGCCTTCAAGCCTTCAAGCCTTCAAGCCTTCAAGCCCTCAAGCCTTCAAGCCCTCAAGCCCTCAAGCCTTCAAGCCCTCAAGCCTTCAAGCCTTCAAGCCTTCAAGCCTTCAAGCCTTCAAGCCTTCAAGCCTTCAAGCCACCAAGCCTTCAAGCCTTCAAGCCCTCAAGCCTTCAAGCCTTCAAGCCTTCAAGCCCTCAAGCCTTCAAGCCTTCAAGCCTTCAAGCCCTCAAGCCCTCAAGCCTTCAAGCCTTCAAGCCTTCAAGCCCTCAAGCCTTCAAGCCTTCAAGCCCTCAAGCCCTCAAGCCATCAAGACTTCAAGCCTTCAAGCCTTCAAGCCTTCAAGCCCTCAAGCCCTCAAGCCTTCAAGCCCTCAAGCCCTCAAGCCTTCAAGCCCTCAAGCCCTCAAGCCTTCAAGCCTTCAAGCCCTCAAGCCTTCAAGCCTTCAAGCCTTCAAGCCCTCAAGCCTTCAAGCCTTCAAGCCTTCAAGCTTTCAAGCCTTCAAGCCTTCAAGCCTTCAAGCCTTCAAGCCCTCAAGCCTTCAAGCCTTCAAGCCCTCAAGCCCTCAAGCCCTCAAGCCCTCAAGCCCTCAAGCCCTCAAGCCCTCAAGCCTTCAAGCCTTCAAGCCTTCAAGCCTTCAAGCCCTCAAGCCTTCAAGCCTTCAAGCCCTCAAGCCTTCAAGCCTTCAAGCCTTCAAGCCCTCAAGCCTTCAAGCCTTCAAGCCTTCAAGCCCTCAAGCCCTCAAGCCTTCAAGCCTTCAAGCCTTCAAGCCTTCAAGCCTTCAAGCCTTCAAGCCTTCAAGCCCTCAAGCCTTCAAGCCTTCAAGCCCTCAAGCCTTCAAGCCTTCAAGCCCTCAAGCCTTCAAGCCCTCAAGCCCTCAAGCCTTCAAGCCTTCAAGCCCTCAAGCCTTCAAGCCTTCAAGCCTTCAAGCCTTCAAGCCTTCAAGCCTTCAAGCCTTCAAGCCCTCAAGCCTTCAAGCCTTCAAGCCCTCAAGCCTTCAAGCCTTCAAGCCTTCAAGCCCTCAAGCCTTCAAGCCTTCAAGCCTTCAAGCCCTCAAGCCCTCAAGCCTTCAAGCCTTCAAGCCTTCAAGCCCTCAAGCCCTCAAGCCTTCAAGCCTTCAAGCCTTCAAGCCTTCAAGCCCTCAAGCCCTCAAGCCTTCAAGCCTTCAAGCCTTCAAGCCCTCAAGCCTTCAAGCCCTCAAGCCCTCAAGCCTTCAAGCCCTCAAGCCCTCAAGCCTTCAAGCCTTCAAGCCCTCAAGCCTTCAAGCCCTCAAGCCTTCAAGCCTTCAAGCCCTCAAGCCTTCAAGCCTTCAAGCCTTCAAGCCTTCAAGCCTTCAAGCCTTCAAGCCTTCAAGCCTTCAAGCCTTCAAGCCCTCAAGCCTTCAAGCCTTCAAGCCTTCAAGCCTTCAAGCCTTCAAGCCTTCAAGCCCTCAAGCCCTCAAGCCCTCAAGCCCTCAAGCCTTCAAGCCTTCAAGCCTTCAAGCCCTCAAGCCTTCAAGCCCTCAAGCCCTCAAGCCCTCAAGCCTTCAAGCCCTCAAGCCTTCAAGCCTTCAAGCCTTCAAGCCTTCAAGCCTTCAAGCCTTCAAGCCTTCAAGCCTTCAAGCCCTCAAGCCCTCAAGCCTTCAAGCCTTCAAGCCTTCAAGCCTTCAAGCCCTCAAGCCTTCAAGCCCTCAAGCCCTCAAGCCCTCAAGCCCTCAAGCCTTCAAGCCCTCAAGCCCTCAAGCCTTCAAGCCTTCAAGCCCTCAAGCCTTCAAGCCCTCAAGCCCTCAAGCCCTCAAGCCTTCAAGCCTTCAAGCCCTCAAGCCCTCAAGCCCTCAAGCCTTCAAGCCCTCAAGCCCTCAAGCCTTCAAGCCTTCAAGCCCTCAAGCCTTCAAGCCTTCAAGCCTTCAAGCCTTCAAGCCCTCAAGCCTTCAAGCCCTCAAGCCTTCAAGCCCTCAAGCCCTCAAGCCCTCAAGCCTTCAAGCCTTCAAGCCCTCAAGCCTTCAAGCCTTCAAGCCCTCAAGCCTTCAAGCCTTCAAGCCTTCAAGCCTTCAAGCCCTCAAGCCCTCAAGCCTTCAAGCCTTCAAGCCTTCAAGCCTTCAAGCCTTCAAGCCTTCAAGCCTTCAAGCCCTCAAGCCCTCAAGCCTTCAAGCCTTCAAGCCTTCAAGCCTTCAAGCCCTCAAGCCTTCAAGCCTTCAAGCCTTCAAGCCTTCAAGCCTTCAAGCCTTCAAGCCTTCAAGCCTTCAAGCCTTCAAGCCTTCAAGCCTTCAAGCCTTCAAGCCCTCAAGCCTTCAAGCCTTCAAGCCCTCAAGCCTTCAAGCCCTCAAGCCCTCAAGCCGTGAAGCCCTCAAGCCCTCAAGCCTTCAAGCCCTCAAGCCCTCAAGCCTTCAAGCCTTCAAGCCTTCACCGCCCGTCGTCGACATTCCTCAGAACGGATCCTCGTCGTCGAGAGTATCCCTCATACAGTGAGCCTTCGTTGACAGAGCATCAGGGTCACAAATCACAAAGCATTGATTTGGGATTTAGAAGTTTTTCCCTCATAGAACGAGTATTCTTTGTTGTGTCACCCTAAACGACGCTATGAGAGAACTACTAGATTTGTCTAAGAAAAAAAGGGACGTGGCCAGCATGGCCGTCGTGGGATTCTCGGAGAAGAGGATGTCAGCCCCTCCCTGCCCCATTCTCCCTCTTTCCATCACCCCGCCCCATTCTCCCTCTTTCCATCACCCCGCCCCATTCTCCCGCTTTCCATCACCCCGCCCCATTCTCCCGCTTTCCATCACCCCGCCCCATTCTCCCGCTTTCCATCACTCCGCCGCATTCTCCCTCTTTCCATCACCCCGCCCCATTCTCCCTCCTTCCATCACCCCGCCCCATTCTCCCTCTTTCCATCACCCCGCCCCATTCTCCCTCTTTCCATCACCCTGCCCCATTCTCCCTCTTTCCATCACCCTGCCCCATTCTCCCTCTTTCCATCACCCCGCCCCATTCTCCCTCTTTCCATCACCC